ATCGTTTTGCGAGGTAAAGGTAAAACCTCAAACTGCGAACTGGGTCCAAGACTATATGGCTGTACGAAGTCTGTTGCCTGTTGCTCACATCGTGAGTGGCTCCTCCATGCCGACGACTGCACAGGTTCCAGCCCATCACCCCAATTTGGCTACAGCGGGCCGTACCCTGTGGGCTTGGAGATACGACAGCGGTTGGATAGCTCTTCATCTGGACCTTCGCAGACTGCCGCCTTGCAAGCCACCTTTGATTTTTGCAGAGCTTCCCAGTCAACGGCCCGGGAGGGTCCGTCAGCCCGAGAACCAGGGATTATATTGGGATTATATATGGCTTATATTGGGATATTGTTGGGCTTATATTGGGATTATATTGGGGTTATATTGGGATTATATTGGGGATATTATTGGGCCTATATTGGGATTACTGCAAAGTTCGACCAGCCCAAGCTCTTTGATCGGCAACGGCCCCTGGACTTTGCTTCATGTGCAATAACTGCAGATGTGAACCTGTCCGCTCCTGAAAACCTGGCTGCCCCAGGTTCGCTATGCCTAGTGTCATTCAGGGCGAGAAGAGGGTCTGAAACATGCGGAAAGCGCGTCCGTTTTGGGCTTCAGTATGGTTAAAATAGTAAACTGTTGACTCGACTGTAGGGCTTGAGGCTCGGGCTCATGGGGGCTGAAAGCTGAGAGCTGCGGAAGTATTGGTTGTGAAAACCTTCGGTCTAACTACAAAGGGGCCACAAGGCATTCAATGCTGAATGCTATAAGCTCCCAGTTAATTCCAGTTAGAGAGACAGAGGGTGAGGGAGAGAGAGGGTGGGAAGGGCGGGCTTTAAGGTTGGGGGGCTTGTAATAGACTAAAGCGCCTAAGCGAACTTTGTATCCGTAACTTCATAGCAAGTTTTGCCCTCTTTGATTGCACGAGCAACACAGAAATATGACCACAGCTCATGCGGGAAGCCAGCCTTGAGGTGGATGGCCCTTGACGCTTCTGACCGCCCTACCCTAAACCCTAAACCCCCTATGAAATGGATCCAATTAAATGCTTCACTGCCGAAACCAACTCCGGAGCTGCATCTGACTTGACGTTGCACAAAGCTTTACCATGAGCCCATGTACCACCAAATTTGCGTAAAACACTGATGTTGTTATCAATTGCACGGCTTGATTGGGGAAATGCTCCATAGCAACCACTGTACTCATCAAATGCCACTAAACATGCCTGCTCCCTTCTGAAATTTTAGTGAGGTCTTGGCCCAATATGATGTGGTCTACTTCCATTCCGTGCCCAAAGTGCAAAGGTGAGGTTTCTTCGAGATCGGGATCACCACGGGACCTGTGAACCTTTGCTGTCATCTTGGCGCGCCTACAAACCTCACCATTCCAATTTTTGGGAAAGCGGGTCAACGCACGATGCAAACTTCGCGATTCCTCGATAAGCCTTTCCCTCAATGTCGGAGACCACTCGGGACGCCTTTCTGCGTCCTCTTCATCAAGCGCTTTATCGATCTCATCGGGAGCGGGCTCAACGAAAGCGAGCAATTCATCACGACCAAATTTTGGCAAACTCCAATCCGGCTCGAACTCTAATCTACCTGTCCTGGCGGGTGTTTTGGGGGCTTTGGACCTTCGGCAGCTGGTGTTGGTGGAGCTGCCGGAGGAGCCGGGGGCTTCTCTCGATGCCTTATGTCCTGGACAAGATTAGGCATTTCAGCGTGCGTGCTCTGCAGTTGTAGTACTGCAGAGCCGGGGGGGGGTGCTTGTGTACATGTACAGTTGAGGTTCACGCGTTGGAAGGCACTCAACCCGCAGTCCAACTGGTTCGAAGGGTTACAGTAGGACCCCGAATAGGTCTTCAGCACCTTCAACTTTGGATGTAGTATGTTCAGTAGTTTGAACGTGTAGTACGCCATGTGCCGAGCGCACGCTGTAGTAGTTGTACAGTTGAGTTTCGAAAAAGCAGTGTAGCTTCTTTGATCCTATATCTTGTGTGTTCTGCGTTCCGTGGAAAAAGAGGTTCGCTGTCCGCTTGCTGTTGCCATGGCCTCATGCAGGTTTATTTCAATTGCACGAAATTAGATCGTTTATCAGTTCTGAATAGATTTCCAATGGGTGTAACGGTAAAAGTTTCTAAATTAGATTTGCATACGAAACCGAATGTGGGTGGTTGTCTATAATACGGCACCTAAAATTTAGGGTACCCAAAAAGGGATCATAATTCTGACAACCACCCATATGAAGCAGAATGCCGGCTTCAAGGCTACTACCCCGAGTCATGTTTTTATCGATTTCAATTGCGCGACAAATTTTGGGGGGCGGCCGCGATTGAAGAGAAACGTCAATTGTTCACGGGGGGGGGGGGGTGGGGGGCCCTTATTAAAGGGAGTCCCACATTAAGGGGGAAGTAGGGGATACATGTGTTGGGTGATGTGTAGGTGGAAGTATAGGAATGATCGGTGACTGAGTGGGTTTAGTCTATGCAAAGCTGTCTGCATGCAGAGACGGCTTTTTGGGCACGGGCTCTGCTCTGCTCCACCAAAGCAAATTCGCAAATTACCAAACCCTAAGGGTCCAAGTACCTAACAATCATATACTTACCCAAAACCTGTACTATAATTACTATTACCCCAAACCCAAGTAGGAAAAGGCTGAGCTGAGCCAAAGGGCCAAAGGCTCTGCCTTGGCCTCTGCTCAGAGCGAGGGAAACTCGGCTTCGTAGCTTGCAAGGACGTACCTCAGGCGAAAACACAACTTTAATGAAGCAGTTCTGTTGCCTTTGCTTTCTGTTTTCCAAGCCCGTGCCTGGAGCTTTGAACCGACCTGTCCCAGTGGGAGCAGCTGGCATGTGGACATATGGTGGCACAGGGAGAGGTCAAAGCATCAGGTCGCGACGTCTCAGCTGCAGGAGCCAATCGCGGGGCCTCTCGCACAATCCGAAAGCCTGTCCACAAAAGACATCTTGTCATTCTGAGCGAGGGACATATCGATGAGGATTACGATCATAATCCTGGGCTCAAGCATGTTCCGTAAACCGAAAACCCACACTGTAACTGGGCTGCCAGCAGGATCATCTGCATCTGTGCCTCGAAGCCGACTCCTCTCCTCGACGAGGCAGCAGCTACGAAAAAACAAAAAAAACACGAGCTCTACCAAAACCACTATTGCCCACAGATGCTTCAGCTTTGCCAAGCTTTGGGCAGTATTGGGTGCTGCCCGTGACTGGCCTGCAACATGCAGCCACGCTGCAAGACAGTGAAGGTAGCAGGCTAACCGAGAGCCAGTGTAAAACAAACTCAGCTTAGCAAGTTGCGCAAGTTCAGAGAATTCGAGCTTCTAGCATCTGGAGGCAGGCACTGGAGACTTGGATAAGAAGGTCCAGTTTTGCTTCAGCCCACCTCGTCCCCCTTGGCTTCGGCCACGGCCACGGCCTTGCCCTGAGTCCGAATTGGCGGCTGAATGCTGAAACAAGAGCTGGGGGTTTACAGTAGGTTGCCCGTTTGCCCGTGCATCTCATCGTTGCCTGCCGTCTCTCCAAAGATTCGGGCTCTTGCAACAGCATACTCTGCCTCCTGAGCACTCTGCTGCGCGTCGCTGCCCAAGTACTGAGTGCTCACTTTTCTCAATTCTCGCATCTCACGCTCCTTCTGCTTCAGCGTCTTCGGAGCCGGCACATTGGCCTGCGACTCGCTCATGCATATGCGGCGCTCTATATGCTGTTCGGTACGGCAAACCATCAGAAGAGCAAAGTGCGCAAAGTAAGCAGAGACATGAAGTGGCACATGCAAATGGCATATGCAAATGGCATCGATGCCTTCTCGTTCCCGTTGTCAGCGCCTTCCTCGGCCTTCGGCCGCTGCAGGAGCTTGGGAGCCTGGTGCTAAGAAAACTGAGCACTCCGTTACTCTCCATTATAGTTACCAGAATCACACACAGGATATAAGACGGCAGTGATCCGTTAAGCCATGTGCAAGGAACGCGCGCTATAATCCCTTTTTGACACAGTGGGCTTGAGCATAGTCAACGAGTAACATGTACATGGTGCAAAAGGATTGA